ATAAACCCTATTTTAAACGAATTAAAAATTTCAAACAAACCAATTTACTGCCAACGGCCATACCATGCTGAAAGCACCGGTTCGTCTGATCACCGCAGTTAAGCAGTATCGTGCGCGGTCAGTACTTGGGAGGGTGAGCCGCGAAACAAAGGATGGAGAGTTAAAAATTTATATACAAAAAGTTATTTTTTTAAAGTGGTGAGTTAAGCTTTTTCCACATAGTTCTCTTTCCTTTACGCTAGGCGCATACATGCAATCTACGAAGGCGCTTACATTTGTTAAATTTGACATTGGCCGAATCATTCTTAAATGATATATTTAATTTTTTCACTGAACTTGGAAAGATTTAAGAGAAATTAAATTTTTTTACTTGTTGCAGTATGCTTTTTTTCGGAAATGATTGAATTTCATCATTGAATGTTTCAGATTAATCTTCTACGGTAGGGTGTGCAGAAAAAAGTCACAATTTATTTTTCATTTCGCTATTCTGCGGAAAAGTTGCGAGTTATTGAGAAATCAAATGAGAATCTAAGTTAAAGAAATTTATTGATATCTTCCGTACCCTCATGTGCTGTAAACTATGGAGGGAATGAACCACTAGAAATTATAAGATCGATTTTCAAAAAATAATGTTTATTATTTGAAGATGCGTACTTTAAGGCTAATGCCATAATAAACTGATTGAAAAATATCAATTTTTAATATTATTGAATTGATTGATTGATTTTTATTATTCTTAAAGATTTTTAAGACTAGTGCGGGAATAGAAGATATCAATCAATTTCCTTACTCTTCTCATCGTTTTATTTCTCACCAATTCATAACTTTTCCAAGACATGAAAAAAAATTGACTCTTTTCGGCATTTCCGATTGTATATACCGTTAAAAATTACTCTAAAGTTGCTTGTTACTGATCAATTAATTAAATTGTTCATGAAAGACATTCGTTTGTCAAGAAAGTGGTTTCTAAGTTATATTAAAGCGGCTAACTTACGTTTTAAGGCTACACAGTCAGAGCTCTCTAGCGGTAAAATTCGGAGTTATCGCTCTTATCTCGAAAACGGTAAGTGATACAGGAATAAAGTAAAATATAGACTTGTATAATATCATCTATTTCATAAGAAAAGACGCCTAGCACACATGAATGTTAAGAAAGGGATGCGTAAAACGCTAATTTGTTTCAATGCAATTTAGAAGAATTTGTCACTGTAAAGTAAACTGTATGCCGCTCAAAAAGAAATGTTTTTAAAACCGGTGACAGTGCTAAAAAATTTCTTAATGAATGATATGAGGTAGTAGAATTTTTTAATTTATAATAGTTTATTGTGTTACATTTTTAACAAAGCTAAAAGATTTTTCATAAATTGGTTTGTTTGAAATTTTTAATTCGTTTAAAATAGGGTTTATCCGAAGCTTCCCGTTTCTATCGCGAACTTTATCAACCCAGCTTGATCAACCGTCTGACACCCGGTTGTAAACCCCACAAACCATATGATAGATCACGCGATACGAAATAGAGTCTGAACGAGGACTGTCTGAAGATAGCAGATCTTCTGATTCTATCCATACTGCCCGTATGCTGGCGCTGAGTCATTTTAAACCGAAACTTTATTTTGTTTCTCTCAAGTCCAACTCCCATAGTACACCGAAAGA